CATGTTTATGATTGTTCTTTTAAATTCAGTGTCCTGGGTTATCTCTAGGGGTTCTCCTTGTAGAACTCTTCTACAGGACTGGTGGCTTGGTGGGGATATAGTGTTTTGGCTTTCCAATTTATTATTCTTTCATTGTGGTTTTGCACATGAATTTCTTTGTTGTTTATGATTCTGATAATGAGAATGAAGTTGAATAATGCTTCTGTTTGTATTTTCAGCGTGCCCAGGTCCTTTCCTTATTGGTTACATAGAGCTGGTTTGTTCAGGTTTCAGGTTTTCTCAGGTTTTATTTTGGAGGGAACTGATGGCTTCAGATCAGCTATTCAGGAACTCCCACAGAAGCCCAAGTCAGGTTCTATTCAGGTACACTCAGGCTTCCTTCACCACGTGGAGGCAGGTTCCAGATGCTCTCAGGCAGTCCCCTGTGTTCTCAGCCCCTATACTAGAGGGAGGCCAGAACCCGGCAGTCTGGCGGTCTTCTGAGATCACAGCCCAACTCATACATGTTTGTATCCAGTGTTGCTTCATGGGATTGTCTGAGGTATTCAGATTTTTTTAAAAAACACAAGAGATGTCTTTACTTGCCCAAACTAGGAGGATTTATTAGAACTTTAGGAGCCATTTATTCCAACTGTTATTTGTAAAAAAGTGGCTTCTGTGGAATGTTGAGCCATGCTCATCTGTCCAGAGCATGAATGCTTGTAGTTACGAAAACAAGGCTGAGGCAAGGTGGCTCCTCAGCTGTGTGGTCACTTGGACTGGGTTTGGACGCAGATTCGAGGGGCTTATTTTCCTTGACTGAGCGTCACAGGAACTTCATGACTGCCCCCATGTGTGATGTCCTGGTCAGTGCTGATACATGGGGTGCCTTTGACTGAAGTATATATAGTACTTCTAAAAAATAGACTTGTTTTCCTCTATTTGCAAAAGAAAGTGACAGAAATGGAGTGGAGCTGAGAAGCTACATTTGCAGTAGAGTTACTGTTCATTTTTTTGTATTATATAATTTATGATAATTTGAAGTTGTTACTCTTTGTTCTAACTACATTAAATGCATCAAATGAAAGACTGATCTTAGGGTTCATTTGGTGATGAACTAACTTCACTACAAAAGCCATGGCTTGGGGCTGGAGAGATGGCTCTGCAGTTAAGAACACTGACTATTCTTGCAGGAGACCCGGGTTCAAATCCCAGCAGCCACATGGCAGCTAACAACTGTTCATAACTCCAGTTCCAGGGGATCCGACAGCCTCTTCTTTCCTCCGTGGGCATTTCACGACACGGGTGCACTTACCTGCATGCAGGCATAACACTCGTACACATAAAATAAAAATAATAAATAAAATATTCTTTTAAAAAGCCTTAGTTTAAAGAGTAATCTGATAGACTGGCCAATTCCGTGTGTGGCTTTCAGCACCTTGGCTTCCCTGCTCCGTCCTTGGGATGCACTATATTTACCTAGTGTCTCAGCTAAAGGCAGTGGTAAATGTGGACATTGCAGTCCCTGAGCAATGTGCTGGCCCCATTACCTCTCATTACTTGGAGCCTGTAGAGTTGAGGTACACCTTTCTCTCTCTCTCTCTCTCTCTCTCTCTCTCTCTCTCTCTCTCTCTC